TCTAATGAATTTATTATCTTCCTTGAACAGTGTTGTTTTTACAAGTCTGCTCGATTATGATTTATGTCCTGAGCGTGAAGGGTATAGAAAAAAAGATCAAATAGAAGAAGATGAAGTTGTGATTTACCTAAACACTATAGCGGAGGTACTATTCTTTTCAAGCTGCACCCTCCTCCCCAGTTGCGGGATCATAATTTGCCATTTGATATGGTAGAGAAGAAAAAAAAAGAAGAAAGATGCCACTTCTGTTGTGTGGTATTCAACAAGATGCATTGAGTTTCTTGGTCGGCGCACACTCATTGTCGTCAAGAATAAGAATATACACTGCTCTCTAGTAGCACTATGTAAGTCAATGTAGCTGAATTTTTAGTTTTTTTCTCTCTGTATTTCTACTTTAGTTGCTTGGCTGGTTACCCGGAATTCATGTTGTTTACTTACTTTTACCTTTTGCTGTACAATCCAACAAGTTTATAAATTAATTCGTCATTAAATATCATTTGTAGTTTATTTTCCCTCGTCACTGAACTTATTAGAACTTATTAGATATGCCTAGTCCAGAGTCCATTCACTACTTGTTTTCTTGGCCACTGCAGGTAACGTTCTCCTTCTTGGAGAGAAGATAACTCTCAATTTAGATATCAATAAGGTGTCTGAGGGCCACCTCATCTATCTTGTCCAGAGTTATCTTTTGTATGGGAATACACAAATGCAGGTATGCAACTGTATAGATGCAATTGTTTTGCAAATGAATGTTCATTAACTCAAAGTTATGCTACTGTCCACTTATACTGCAGTTGGAACAGAACTTGGAACTATCAGAGTTCAATAAACAAGTTCTTGGTGTATTGCCGAAGCTTCTGGGCAGTTTATACTTTGATGTGAAATTCGCTAGGTGACTGATACTGATTTAATTGTGTGAGTATGTGTGATTGTCCTTCTCAGAGTCTAATGTTTATGATGTCCATTTTTCAACTCTTGTGGTTTTGAGCAGACCTTAGAAACCGCACTTTTTGGTTTTCTCGGTGTCCCTCTACACCATGGCTGGACGGTTGATCGCCAGGTACCCATTGTACATGGGCTTTTTTAAATATTATTTCCTTCAATGCATCAGCATTTCTGTAAGATTTGAGATCTTTATTGGGGTAAAGGCGGATACTTTGATATTTCATTAGGATGTTGAGTTGGGCTCCTCCATACACAGAAGCTCCTACTTCAGACTTTCGGTAACTCTTTCTGTGTATGAAACACTTCTATCCGGGCCTCAAAAGCATGATGTTGCGTGTGAAGACGACATGTTCTATTATGCGCTTGCATTCTCTTCAACCGAACCAGAAGAACTTACCAGTTGTAAATTTCTACAACATAAGTGTTCAATTTTTTTGGAGCAAAATTATATTTGCAAGTGATTATTCTGTTACATCTTTTCTTTGTTCTCTAATTTTAGGTGCAAGGATCTCAACCTTTTTGAGGGGCCCAAATGGAAGTTTATATATATGTTCAAGTGTTAATTTTTTTTTTTGTTGCTTTTAAAACTAGATTTATTTATGTCTATGGGTGTAGATTCTCTTCATTAAAAAATGACCTTAAAGAGAGACAACCCTCTCTCCTACTTTGGAATGAAACATTACTTACAATATCGAAGGTGAGCTGTTGATTTGTTCAGAGATAGTGACTCTCCCCTCTTCTTAAAATGAGCAAACTTTCCTCCTGAAATATATCCCTATTATTGTATAGGTTGAAAACAAAACTTTTGTATTGCTAAATGATATTTCCTTGTTGAGTACTCATACCGATGCGGTGTGAGAAATGTTAACAGAGGTATGTTGATCTTTTTATGTTACATGCGATTATGATATGTTAACTGTTTTTTTTTTGCATGGTTAATTAGGGAAATGATGTTGGATATTTTGTTGATTGTAACTTTAGGCCTACAAATTCAATGATTCAATCAATACTGGTAAGATCAGAATGTTGAAGTAATGAAGTTATTAC